TGCATTCCTCTCATATTTGTTCTGCATTCGTAGTTTTGACATTTTCGTAAAACTTACGAAGTTTTCAATGTCTGATAAAGTCTTAAAATTTCCGAGTAATAAGTACTCACGGACAGTAAAATATAATACTAATTACTTGCTTAATCTTTAATTTTTCCAAGTTTGTTGACATTTTGCCGTGTTCGTTGAAACTCTAAGGCCTTTTCAATTTCGCACTCTCAATTTGAAGGGGGTGATTTCAAGAATTTTAATTCCATTTGACAAAATAAAACGATTTAAATCATTTATAGTCCCCTTCAAAAAATTGATTTTAGATTTCTTGACTATTTTTTAAAGTTTCAATTATATTACTAAAGAAAATAAATAATGAGAATAAAGTGGAAAATGTAGTTATTGGTAAAGAGTATTTTCAAAAGAAAGAAATAATTTATTAAACGTTTCCAAGCGAATTCTGTTTGTCGTAGTTGGAATGTTGACAGTTTGTTAAGAACACAATACATCACAAAAAAAACCTACTTTTTTTTATTTTCTGCAACATATCACTAAGTTTAAATAACGTGTTGGAAAAATCAAGAAAAATTGTTTCAATAATGAAATATTTGCATAACTGCCAATAACATTTTAGGATGAAAATACTGTTTATTGCTGGATGTTTTATCACTCTAGCTCACTTTTGAGTTATATCTTTTTCTCTACAAATTCTGGATTCCAGCCTCCGGGTTTCGTCATTTAACAGCGATGGATGAAGTCGAGAACAATTCGCAGCCGTTGATATATTGTGAGTTGATGCACGTCCCTGAAGAATAGCGCATGCTATAAACGATTATAGCACGTGGCTTCTCTCTACGCACGAGCCAGGACTAACGTGACACACATTGAGAATCGTATGAAGTAATGGAAAACCACTTCAGGGTCCTAGCGTATGATGCATTATACGTAGAAATTCAATATAGCAATATGCGTAAGCAAAATATGGTAGCGACCTTTTTTAGTGGACAAATTAATTTTTCCACGCGAGGTTGTCTAACAAAATCTATATACAGACTTCAAAAAGAGATTAAACTATCAGACATGCCTTTACAACTCTCCGAGTTTCGTCAAGTGTCTGCGTGCAATCAGGGGACTTACTGAGATCCGCGGAGGGCGGGTAATGGGCTTGGGTAAGGGGCATTGGTAATGCAATGCAGAAACCAATGACGGTATACTGAGGATCAATTATTGATCATTAAAACATTAAAAAGGCGTATCGCCCCATCTGACACCTGAATAGAACGCAATGATACTAAGAACATCGGCGGCGGTGGTGTAACGGTTAGCGTATTGGACTTGTACCCAAGTTGGCGGGTTCAAACCCGATCGAAGCCGTGGATTTTTAAGGGCGAAAAAGTACTTCGTACGCCTTCCTTCGGAGGGGAAGTAAAGCCGGCTGTCCCATGTTCGTAGATTTACTTGCATGTAAAAGATCCTCAAGCCTAAATGACGCCTCTGAGCTAAATTCAAAAATCGCCTGTTTCTCGCCCAAGAAATACCTTCTTTCTCTGCTATATGAAAGGAGCGTAGCGAAATTTGCGTCAGACGGAAGAGCGGGCCTGATGGCCCGAGTCTCGCCACGTAAAATAAGGCATATTCAATTCAATTCAATTCATCTATTTCCCTATTACCTTGGCGGCTTCGCAGTTCGGATGTCATCGGCTTTCCAACCTGGTTCCGAAGTTATTACGTCACTTGTGCTCACACGTTAACATCGGCATAAGGGTAATGGATGATACCACCACGCTTTTGACCAGCAAATTCCGCCACCTGAAGGGTTTTGAAACTCTGGGGAGGGCATCCAGATAAGGGCTGCCTGCTCTTGAGGTTGGTTAGATGAGAGGTGTTCTTTACGACCCGGGGTCGAGACGAATCTTTCTAAGGTCGAGCTAATAGTTGCCAGCTCTAAAGCTGGTCAGATGAGAGGTGTTCTTTACGACCCGGGGTCGAGACGAATCTTTCTAAGGACGAGCTTATAGTTGCCAGCTCTAAAGCTGGTCAGATGAGAGGTATACGTTGCAACCCCGGGTCTGGGCGAATCCATACTAAATGTCCCCTGAGCCAAGAGTGTCTCCCCACCCCGGATGCGTCTTGGAGGCTAAATATATCTTTCAAACTCAGTGCCTAACGTCGCAATGACATTGTGGGCATGACGTAGTACCTCAGGAAACCTTGTTGTGTCCGCCTGTGGAGTAGAGATCGCTAATATGGTTAACGTTAAGGGTATTTGTGCCCATGCGCGCGTTACATCCTCACTGCGAGTTTGCACGCCGCCTTTAGCATGGAATTTACTTTCTGGCTACCGCGTACGCAGTAGAGAGAAAGTTATGTAATGCTTTGCGAAAAAACGACGAATTTTCGGCAGAAAAACTCTTATTACAGGGCTCTGGTAATGAAATGGACAAATCCAGTTGCTAAATTTAGAAAAAAGATCCTCATTACAACGCTGCGCTAAAAAGTAACGCTAGTAGCTAAACTGTTAGGCCGATTTTCTCCAAAATTGATATTCACCAATCGATCTGGCTGATGTCGCGGCGCCGTGAATTTGAAAACGATATTTTTTTGGGAGGGTGGGTTCTTTACGTGAAGATCTTTGAACATTTCCAAATTTTCAAAAAAAGAAATTGCTCCATAGTTTTTTATTAAATTTTGTTGTTCGATAGTGAGTGTCGTTGAAGAGAATAGTGCAGATCTCATTTTCGTTGAAAACTAATTTTTATAAAATTTGCAAAAAAAAATTGAAAAAAAATCGGCCTCTTTCTAAAACTACAATTATGGAAATAGAGATTTTTTACCTTAACGAAATATGTTCCGTAAATATAGATTTTGAAATAAGGCCATGTACATATTTTTCGAATATTGGTGTACTTTTTGCGTAATTTTGCGTGAGAGAACGTGCGAGAAAGTATTTGCCGTTTTAGCACCACTAGTTTATTCTTGTAGCGTGGTGGCAGTGCCAACTATCATTTATCGCCTTCTAAGTCCGTTTCGTATCTATATCAGGCAAGAGTACCCTCCACCAACCAGCTATCTGCCCCGATATGGGCCTACGTACCACCTCAGCCGAGGAGGAGGAGGCTCCCATCTCGAAGTATTGGAATGGGAAGAGATATGGCGGGGTGGGTGGGTCTCTCAGAAAGCAGAATGGTGAAAACCAAAATAGTAATCAGAATTATGTAATAATAAAACTAGAAGAGATGGGCGTCTTACCGAAACTTTTTCTTCTCTTAGTGAGATTTGTCAACAAATACTCATTTTTTAAGTGCATGATATCATTTAAATATCTACAATTGAGTGAAAAAGTGCATTGAGAAATAAATCTCAGGTTTTAATACTGGAGATGTAGGGTAATTTTCGAAAAATAGTTGACATTTGCAATTTTCAAAATTTCAGAAGCTTTAATGAAAATCGAAACTCTGCCATATTTAAACATGCTTTTTCCTTTATTCGGGTAAAAAAAAATAAAGTGAAAAAATTGCCATATTAAAAAAAATTCAAAATGATACAGGTGATAGGATGGGGACCTTACTGATGACCTTATGCCACTCAGTTTCACTGCGGAAACAAAGGCAATGTCCTGCGTTGCATTGAAGGGTGTAAAGATAGTATTACGTTGGAGACAGTGGACAATGCAGAATCAAGAACGGAGAAAGCACGAACTCTGGAGCAGGATCGGAAGAAATTACTGATGAAAAAATACGAAGCAAACAATTGTAAATATTAGATTTTTAAGGACAAATAGAAATATTGAAATATTCAATTCGTGCTGTAATGTACTCTGCTGTATGTGTGTGTTAATAAAATTAATAATTGTGTAGAAATTCTATTCAATTTTGACATCTTCGTAGGTATAAGTACCTTATACCAAGTAACGTATACCTAATGTTTATAATTTATTAATGCAATTTTATTTCGGCAATTCTAATTTTCGCTCTGAGGATGATCGAAAAAAATCATTCATTAGCAAAATAATTTTTTGATACCAGACAACACGAATTTATATATACATATTTATATATAACATATTTAATAATATAGTATAGTATTATATCTACACTATATAAATAATATACAATGTAATAACGGATATGTTTATTATTTAATAAAAATCTATGACAGCTCCCCCCC